TCGTGCCACGTTTTTTTTTATCCCTGCAAGTTAATTCTAGTCCTTTAGCTGCAAAGCCATTAATTGTCCTTTGAGGTAGTTTGATTTATCTGGTTAATGGATTTAAATGTGTCGCCGGGATTGATTGACCCAACGAAAGCAATCTTGTTTAACAAAGAAAAAAATATGAGTTTTTGCTACACTTTATACCAATTATTATAATACTGGTTATTTTCAATGGCCTAATACTAATAAACTGAAAGATGAGATCTTGTTGGCGTTGCTAACAAGATGATCATTTTAATTAATTAATCTGTATTAACACTGGAGATATAATAATGTAAGTCCTATAACGTATAATTATGAAAGTCATATAAAGCCACCCCTACCACCAGCACCACCGGTACCTCAAACGAAAAAAAAATAATAGATAACGAAAAAAAATATTCCTTATTTTGACGACAATTTAAAGGAATGTGAGAGGGATAATTAGAAAGACCTTTAAATTTTTAAGACAAACAGAATTTATTATGAAAAAAAATTCTGCAGATTTAATAAAAACTAAAAATTCTTTCCTTGAATTTGGTTGAAAACTTTGCTCTACCAAAAAGGCATGCACAGTAAAGGATGTGTCGCCTGTATCATTTAAGATGCGAATATATAAATCTAAGAGAAGTAAGCAATCTATTTGCTGTTGGCATTATACATTTTCCTGTACAGTAAAAAATCCACGGATTGTAGGAATGCTGAAGATTATAACAATCAAATAAAGATATGATAAATTATAGACATGAAACTGTATTTACAACTTTTGACTTTTAATTCAAAATCATCTCAAAATCCCAACGCAGGTAAAGTTTGACTTCTTGGTAATGTACTGTATATTAAATCACTTCCTGTGTACAGGGATTAGGAGACAAACAACCGCAGATAGACTGCTAGCCCTCAAGGCATCCACACCTGTACAAAATAAGCCCCTCCCTCACCTGGAATTTACCATCAGGTAAAAAATCTCTGTCTTTAAGGATATCCGATCCTCAGCCAGGAAGGATAACTTTTAAATTTATTATTTTATTTAAAAAGTCTCAAAATGAAGCTTGAAATTGATATCTTTTCGTGCAACAATTTTCGTTTTATTCATCTTAATATGATTCAAGGTTCTTTGAAGTCTTAGAAACAGTCTTATAAAAAGTTGACATTTGAACCCCATAAAAGAAAAAAAAAAAAATGAAATTTTTAGAGAAATCGAATTTCCTTTAGTCTAGCATTAGATACCACTGCTTATTAGCATGAGATGAAATTAGATATGATATGTGATGTCTAGCAATGATAGCACACTCTTTTCGCTCTATGTATAATATGACAATTGAAGTAAAAAGAAGAACTGAAATACTGTATAAGCATAAAAAAGATGCAATTATCTCCAAATGCCTGGATACCTATATTTTTCTATCCTAAATTATATTAGTTGATCAATTTTCAATAAGAAAATGCATAGCTGGTGTTTTTATTCGGATTTCCTGAAAATATATTTGAGAATTGATAATTTCCCTATATAATATGATTAACTATAATGATACACTTTGAAGAAACTCCATGGGTAAATTCATGTTACTTTATGAAATCAGAGACATTTTTGTGAGCATTTTCGATTACTTAAAAGCTGATTTTCAGAACCTGAGCATTGGACTACCTTAAGTGCCGCAGTGCTCTCCAGGCGACATAAAAGTGATAGAACTGCATATCATAAAATTTCGAACAGATCAATCAAATAGCAAAGAAATGCAAACAAGCAACGAAATAAAAAATGAATTCTATACCTTTCCCCAAGGAGTTCTTAAGGTCAAACCCCAGAATGTGTACTCTAGAGTAGGACTTCCCACGGGAGGAAATCTCACACTAGAGCCAAACTTCCCCTCTTTTTTTCTCAGAGTAGGATTTCCGCTTAGTTTTAATGCTTAAATCATATCGACAATAATTTGGTTAAAAGTTTATATGAAAGACAACTGATTTTTTAATGGAAATATGAGTGTTCTCGACTCAAGGATTGTTTAAATTTAGTATGAAATCTTAATACTATATAATTTTCAAATTTCATACTTCGTACATTTCAATGGAACTTGTCGCCATTTTGAAAATTTAAAATGTTGAATGAAGCTTTTAACTTTAGCTATGAAAACGAAACAGAAAAAAAAAATATTTTAAATGTTTTTCTTCCAATTGTATTTCAAACTACATGTACAAATATTGATGTGTAAGTGTCTCACCAAATTTCTTTGGATTAAACCTCCAAAATAGCTGCCGTTGGCATGGACCTTAACATGGGGACCATTTCTTTGAAAAAAAAATGAAATTTTGCACAACTTTCAGAGAGTATTTGCTCTCTGCTTTCAAATCTAATATTACACTGCTAGGGTCGAGGGGACATACTTATTCTACGGCTTTCAAGAGCAGTGTTTCTTGTATTATTGCTTTTTGTTTTGGCAAATACTTACAAAATACATGCATCCTATCTATAATTTTTTTTAGCATTTTCTCACACTGTAAAAAGCACTGATACATAGATAAAATACTAGACCGGTAAAGGGCAAACGAATTAAATTTCTAAATGTTGCGAGATACACATTTTTTAAACACATTTTGATTGAACAATAAATCTTAAAAACGAAATTACAGATGTTATTTTTAATCATTGGTTCCGTAATCATTGAAGGCTGCTCTAACAAAACTTATTCCCCAGTGTTTGTCATTAAAATTCAGAACAGGATTTTTGCATCTGAAATTTTAAAGATGTTTACACTTGCTCCTTGAAGGAAGCTCTGATACAATAAGTATATGAGGTGCACTTTATAATAAAGTGTCCCTAGAAAAGTTTCTAAATATTTGGTGTTTAGGACATACGCATTTTTCCATTCTGGTAAAATTTTAGTTTTTAAATCCATTTATAAATACACATGCATGTTTGTGGTAATGAAAAAAGATACAAATTAAATATTTGCTGCTTTTTGTTTCATTTTTTTAAATTCATTACTTTGCATGCCAAACTTCCATGATACTTCGATTCTTTATTGACTTTAAATGCATCAGTTTTTATTTAATGACAATTTCCTCAGGTGATGGCCATAAATGCACAATTGATGAAATGTCTATATAGCTGTTCCAAGCAAAGAGAAATCAAACCCAGTTATTCTTGGAATTCATGAAAAGTAGCGTTGAAAAAAAACTTGATTAGATAAATACCAGTTAAACAGTTATTATCACTGAATTTTTACATCATGATATACATGTACCTGTGCTGTTTTTCTTGTGTGCTTCCCCTTAATTTTCTGTTTGTTTTTTGTTTTGTTCTATTTTTAATTTTTTGTTTTTAGAATTCTATTTGACTCGATCTAGAACGAAAACTAAAAAGGTATTTTCATGATGCAGAGACTTGAATTCTGGCTTTAGTCTGCGAATATAGAATTGTTTACTTTTTGTGTACTTTATGTAATTTTAAAATATTCTAGCTTTCTTTCCACTATAGCAAGCTTAAAACAAAATGTTGGTTTAAATCCTCATTTCATCGTTACATTAATATCAGATGCAAACTCGATATCGTCGGTAACTTTTCAGTATAATATTTCTGAAATGTTTTCTTGTTTTAATGAAAACGATCTACATGTATCTTTAAACATTATAATTTTTGGGTGACCTGTTATTGTCCTCTTCATTTGCACGTGATCCTTTCAAATTTCGATATCATTTCCAGAACAAACAGGCCAATGATAACCAAACCTTTTACAAAGCATTCTTGGTAAGAAGAGTCATGCCTATCACCAAAGGAATATAATTAAGATATAGTGAAATTAGGGTTTCGTCATTTAAAAAGTCTCTCAGCTGGAAAAAAAAACTTGTAACAAAAGGTCTATGGCCACAAGGTTCAACTGCGCGTTACTTTAGCTCTGCTGTTCTTCAGAGGATTTTTTACATGATTTTTTTTTAATCCAATGAAAATTTTGACTCCATAAATTATGCGTCCACCCTTACTCTAAGTCTAAATCCATAGGGATGTTTCAATATTAATATGACTAACATGGCCTTGCACTAGGAAGGAAATTCTTTTCCTGTAAAAGTATTTTGAAAAATTTAATCCCGATTTTAGCTAACTCTGAGCCGGGGTCAATAATCTAAAAAAAAAAAAAGAAAGAAAAAAAATCAACAAAACATGGGAATGTTTGCAAATTAATGGTTCTATTGAATGTATTCTTCAGAAGATTTTTTTAAAAAAAATCTTAGGCGACAGTGTTAACGTTTTCTCACGCAACCCCTCCCTTCTTATTTTATACACTGTTTGCTCACATAGTTCTTTGCGATACTTGGATCCCCTTGTGTTGAACAATTTAGAATGTACACTACCTTTGGAAGCTTTTTCGTAATTTTCATCTTTTCCAGAAATATTTTACATGATCTTTCAATCAAAAAAGAATATAAAATAAAAATTTTAACAGAAACACTTAAAATTTTCAATTTAACATTAAAATATCATACTGAAGATTTGATTCGTCTAAATTGCTGGTGTCTTGAGCTCTCAAGTTTGACAAAGGACTTAACAAATAAGGAAAAAAGTTCACATTATTTGGCTGGAAAAAAGTCAAGAGACAGCGATTATTAAAGCCTGTGGAACTCTTGCTATTTTTGCAATATTAAAAGTACAAAAAATGCGCAAGATTAAACCTTTAATACATTATATTAAATACAATGTAATGACGTAAGATTCCCCGTTAGTCCTAAGGTATTTTTGTATATTCTGAGACATTCCAAATTATGGATGAGTGAGGTAAACGTTTGGTCTGGGAATACACTGAGCTTAACAAAACTTCTGCACGAACTACATCATTTTTCATTGATATAATATGTAATAATACCCGCTGTGTCAATGATAACGCTGGAATAACAGCATCAATTATGGCAAAGGGTGGCGTTTTAGTCATTTAAACCAATGTCAATTCTTCAAAATATCAGAGATAAAAGACAACATAACCATCAATGACAAACATTTATATAATGGAATTCAATTGTAGCATGTTATGAAAGCATTAAATTAAACAACATTACGATTTTTTACGACATTTATGTCAGTCATATCTCATTGTAAGGCTATTTCGATCTACGGCATGTCGTGAACGTCGTTTAATATTGCGATCAATACGCAGCATTTTCCTGAATTTCCGGCGGAAGTTCATATTACATAGAGGATATAGAAAGGGGTTTAATGTCGAGTTTAGGTAACCTATCCAGGTCATGGCTGTCATTAGCTCTGTATCGACACAACTATCACAAAAAGCTACCACTAAAAACAAAGTAAAATATGGCAAGAAGCAAACTGTAAAAGCTCCCATTATTACCCCTAATTGACGGGCAGCTTTTATTTCCCTCGTGAGTGACGAACTTTGACGAAAGTTTTTAATGCGATGTTTTATGTTAAACATATTTGAAATGCGACGAGAAGTCACATCGCCAATCATACAAACACTTTGGGCAATATTATTGCTGTCGTTTTCATTGTTTCCATTCGTGATCATAGCAGTGTCTAATATGTTCTCCGTTTGGCGAAGTTTTTCGATACCATTCGTCAACCCGTAAACATTATTACATTTCAACATCTTCCTATTACACTTCATACCCGTGTTACATGTACCCTGATATCTCTCCTCACTACTCGAACTGTGATGAGAGCTTGATGGATTTGTTAAGTAATCATTACAAAAGTTTGGGTTGGGGGCGTCCATGGAACGAATAGAGGACAATGGAATGTTTTCCTCGTAGTAAAATCTTTCTAATTTTTCTGTCTTTTGATCTAGAACATTCTCGTCATAAATGTATTCCACCCTACATCTCTGAGCTAACCTCGACCGATCAGAAGCCCCGTTGCTGCTCGTTGTCAGCAAAATCTTATTGGATTTCAAAACGAGGCATTTGCTACTTTTAAGTTTCACCTTTTTAGTTTTTTGGAGTGAGCTATTTTTCATGGTCGTTGGATGATTGGCATCTTCAATTCTGTTGGAATGTGGATCTGTGAAAGTATCAATACGTGGTTCACTATAGCTGCTGCTTCCGCCTAATTGCGAATCTCCATCGTAGTTGTACGTCATTGGTGTTGTTGCCGTTGGATATTGTTGTCCAAGTTCCAAAGCCGACCGTTTTCTGATCTCATGGAAAACTTTACCATAAAGACTATACATAATAGCTAAAGGAAGAAAATAATTGAAAAACGCTGTCACCACTTTAAAAATGGAGTCCTTGGCATATTCAGTGTCACAAACATTAGATGGAACCGTCCTGATGCCATCATAAGCAAAATGGTGCCACCCGACAATAGGTATAATCCATAAAGATGAAATTACCCAAACAATCGAAATCATAACCAGTGCTCTCTTTTTCGTTCTTTTCCGTAGATAACGTAATGGTGACGTCACAGACCAATACCTGTCGACACTTAGTATAAAAAGATTAAGAATGGACGCAGTACTAGCTGTATAGTCCACTGCAATCCAGATTTGACAGACAGCGACTCCAAAAATCCATTCCTCTGTAAAGATATAAATCGTACTAATAGGCATCACTATAATTCCAACAATCAGGTCAGCCATCGCCAAACTTACGATGTACATGTTGCTAACCTGCAAAATAAAAAAAAAATACAGTAATTTTTAAACAAAAAATAATAGTGAAGTTTTTTTTAGTTTTTCTTAGCAAACTGAGCATGTAAATTCATCAAATAAATTTTAATTTGGAAATTTACTGTAATAAAACATTGTAAGCGGTTAGAGTATATGACATTGAAATCATTTCTAGGTCAATAAGAAAACTCGTTCACATAAGAGCGACCTTCATCATTTATATAATTATAACAGGTATCCATAAATCAAAGAATTCGCGCCAAATTCTAAAATTAGGCCAAGTATCTTAAACCAGCAGAAAAGCTAAAATTATGGTTGATGGCATAACTTCTCAAAAATGATAAAGAAAACCAGGTGCAAAACTCTTAAAGCTAAAACAATAACCCTTGAAATTTGACACGTTGTGTACTATTTTCTACGTGCATAATAGCATTCCTTCTGGGAACTGACTTTTATGCATTGTCTTCTTGTTTTCAGTTGTAGTTATCGTAGGAGACATTATCGTCCAAAGCAGTACCCATTCCCCTTTTAATTAGTAATGATATCCAATCAGTTCCAAACCAATACCTCTGTCTTTAGCAATAAAAGATGATGTAAGAAGCCCTGACATTTAACTAACCAAGTTTGATTTTTATTAGTAAAGCTTTAAGTCATTTTTGTAATGCATTTTTTCAATATCCAAACTTACACTGTCATTTCACATTACAATCAAATTAATAATAGCCCACAAACTACCTGAAATAACTTCTTGTGAAAAGCGATGTGTTTAAAAAAAAAACAAACATATAATTATGTAACCTTCAAACTTACCGTTATATATGATATTTTAAGACAGAAGAAAGTTCAAGGAAACAAATAAATGGAGAAGTTATTCCCTAACACTAATGACAAATGGATACAAGACTCAAAAGGTTAAAAATGCAAATTTTAGTGAAACTTATCAAAGCAAACATTTGGATTAGAAGTTAAAAGCCTGTGTAGTCTACAGTAAAATTCCCTTCTTTCTTCGGCCAGGATTTCAACATCTTTATTCAAGGAGAAATAAAAGCCTTTTTATATCTATACATATGCATTTCCAAAATAATTATCATCAAATATTTTATATGCGTTTTTTTTCTTTTGAAAGTATAACCGAGGAATATACACGTATTTTCAAAACGAAAAAAAATTCAACTTAAAGCAAGCAATGTTTTTATTGAAACTGATCTAAAACAAGTAGTGAAATAAACTTTTAATAAGCTGTCCTTATAAATGACTTATAAAGTAAATAATTCAAAAGTAAGATGAGTATTAAAATGATCGAGTTTTTGAAGAAAACAAAGAAAACATGTGATAAAAGTAATGACATATCTATATTAGATAGAGATATACTTAATATTATTTTTTTTTCCTGATGGTGTTCAGTTTTTGTGCTCCATTTCGTAGTAAAAAGTTCTTTTGACTATAAAATATGGTAGAATTTCGGATTAAGTTCTTTCTTGACTATAAAATATTTAAGAATTTTAGAGGGAAACTTTGCCTCTTCTCCCATTATTTACGACTTTTTTTCCGGTGAGAGTTCTTGATAAGTACTTTATCATTCTGTGATGATTTTTAGTAACACGACTGAAGCCTCTTTTATATCTGTCGAAGTAATTTACAATGTAACACGCAGAAAATTACTACTTTGAACACGGAACCATGTTTTTACACATAAAGCCAATTTTTTTTTAGCAAAATGAAACATGTTTTAATCAAGTTTTCACGCTTTGATTTACCTCTCTGAACCGCCACATTGCGATTGAAGTGGGATACGAAATTGCTCCCTGTTTCATACATAATTAATCCCAATTATTTCCGAAATAAAAATTAATCTTGAAACATCTTGCTGATAGCATTGACCTGATTAGCGATTTGACAGGAGGAATCTCGTGAACCTACATTTGGTAAAATATTAGCTATAGACCAGACACTATCGACGTGGTGCCATACTGCAAACTTGGCTTTGAAGTTCAATTTTGGTCGATTAGAAGAAAGTAGATCGTTGGTGTGAAGACCTGGTTAAAACTGTGCTTTACATTGGCAAAGCATTGGTTTTTTGTAAAGAGACTTTGCTGAAATGCCAAATTTTCTGGATCAATTACTTTCAGCATTGTGTTTATCGAAATGAATGTCTTTGAAAATCTGTAGACATGGACTTTAGGACTCCTAATAAAAGAATATTTGCAAGCAAGTGTTATTGATACATCTTTGATCAAATCAGTTGTAAAGGTATATAGTGTCAAACTTCATTATGTTTATCAACCACAATTTAAAACACTTCTTGACAGAGAGGAAAGTATGGAAATCATTTTAAATGACTCATAGATTTTAAACTTGGGACTTCATGGCAGGCCATCATTGCAAAAATAAGACGGGAAAGTAACTATTTTTTCACGTCTTTTTTCCATAGTTTGTAATCAGCTGTATATGAGACCACATCATTTTACTATTATTTTTCTATAGTCACATGTACAGTGAGGTCTCCATGCATCCTACCATCCCCGACGTCATCTGAAGTATGACGATGAAGTCATTAAAGGTCATACAAGGAATCCTTTATGGTGACATGTTGCAAAAATGCATACAATCAAGGCATTTAAGCTATTATTCAATTACAAAGAAGATGAAATCATTACATCTTTCCTCAGCTATTACAAAGACCTAGAGAACTAAATAACTTCTAACAGAGTGAATACAGTATACACTTTCTATATCATCTGTATGGTATTTACGGGTGCACACCTCTTTATTTTTAGGATCGGTACGTGAAGAAAGTAGTGCACTAAAACGAAAAAGTTCCTGAAGGTGCAAGAAGTATATAATTATAACTAGAGAGTTCCAAGGAACGCATGTGTCGCCTGCTTTGTAGCTTCATTAAAGGTGTAAATTACTCCAAGTGTAGTTAGCTATTTATTTACTACTAGCATGATACATGTAGTTCATGCAGAAAAATCCTCGGATAGTATAAAATTGCGATAGAATCTGACAATCAAAGAAAATATGATTCCCAACCCTCAATTGAATAAATGAATTGAAATTAAGTTAATAATTAATTATTTGTCATTTAACATGCATAAATACGTGTTTCAAACTCTTTACTCCAATTGTCAGTCTACGAGATCCATTGTGGGATACGGATCCCTATGTATTTTCATAGTATTTTAAAAATATCAGTTTTTGTGGTAACTGAATATCATATAGTTTCAAAGTACAGTATCATGAGCTTAAAAACGTATAAATGCTAAGGAATATATGTGCAAAATATCAAATCTCTATCTCTAACAGTTCTTGAGGTACAAGGTGTGACAGACGGACAAACAGACAGACGCGGGGTAAAGTGATCCACTAACTAAAAATGCTTGATAACTATGAAAAAATTATAAAAAAAATCTACGTTTAGTTTAACATTATCTTTGATTGATTGATTGTATGTTGTTTAACGTCCCTCTCGAGAATTTTTCACTCATATGGAGACGCCACCATTTGCCGGTGGAGGGCTACAAATTTTGACCTATTCTCGGCACTTAGGGCCATTGAGCAGTTAGGGATGTTTTTCGTGCCAGCACCTACTGCGACACGGGACCTTGGTTTATACGGTCTCATCCGAAGGACCGGTCTCCACGTCCCACAGTGGCATTCGAATCCGCGACGTAAAGATCAACCCCTTACTCCGCAACTCTAGAGCAGACGCTCTAACCACTAACATTATCTTTGAAAGAAAAGTAATTGTTTGATATGTGCATACCCTGGATTTTCGAAATACCCTACTTTTACTTCCATTTTTTTTAAAATTTTTTTTGCAAACATTTGCATTTTGCCTGAAAACGAATCTGACATGCCATTTCGAGATTTTAACCAGTGAGAGAGAAGTTGACGAACTTTCATTTGAGAGGGGAAAATGTTCACATTGTCGCCCTTTGGGAAATATACATACATGTATGTATTAGTAAACTTTACCGATATATTACATTATTAAGTTTCATGAATCTAAATATTTTTTATTACGAAACGAAGAGTTCACACATTATGCACATCTTTTGTTTCCCTGGAAAATGCATTTATCTTGGGAAAATGAACAAATAACCAACTTTTTTAGTTTGTTAAAAAGTAAATTTCTGAAATATGTACACTTAAGATAAAATAGTACATGTTTGTACATTAATGTAAAAAAAAGAACAGGAATATTATTTGAAAAAAAGTTTAATAATATACCTTGTCTGTTATTAATATTGAAATCCTAACGACATTTGACTGTACATGTAATTTATAGACAAGTAAATTGAAGGAAGTGGCCGTAGAAAAGTACACAAAAAGTATTATCTCGCTGGACCATTAAATTAATGAAAAAATATAAATAGCTCTTTCTAAATTAATGCATGTGAGTGGAACGTTAACACCTCGTGACACAATTTAAGCGGACCTTATACAAGGGCATAGAGGACATCAGATTGCCATTACTTAAAAACAGAAATTAGCTAATATCCAGCATCTGTGAAATGAGGAATTCCTTTGAGATTTTAGTGCTGTCTGTATTATAGCAGGATAATTAAGTTAAAAGTACCCATCGCCGACACGTTTTGATTAGGACCCAAATGTGTCAAATTGAACGTCCAAGACTATCAGATATGATGGAATGTAGTCTTCTATTACCGATCAAGGAATAAACATTATTTTGTAAAGCGGTCAATGGCATGAGCTGTATTCAATGAAACGGCACTTTTGCACTTGTAATTCAAATGAATTGGAAATTGTTTTCTTGTATTTTCATGTACTTTTGTCTGTGTTAGAAAATTTTATCGATAAAAACGAAATTCCTTCCATAATTATAATTTGTTTCAACATTTTGCAAAACTAGAGTGTTCTCATGGCACACTGTGAGATTGCATGTCTATACCTATTAATGAAAAAAATTACAATCATTTAACTCATCCTTATTCTTTTTTTCTGGCAACTCATTAGTCATATATCATTTC